AGAAACAGACAGAAAAAAAAAACTTCATCCAATGCAATCCAGATTTATTCATTTAATGATTAGTTTACAAATATTGCCATAAATTATGGGTGAAACAAGTGGGTAATAATGTTTGCTGTCATCGTTAAAATAATGGGCAAACGAGATCCCTGTTCCATAGAATAATGGCTGGTCATTATTTATCTGTTTTCATGACGACTCATAATGAGTTTTCCTCTGAATAAACCCAGTCCTCTCTTTCCAACTCAAATAAGCAATTTGTCTTTCTAATTATATAATACTCCCAATCTTGCAGATAGGCAGAAAAAGCCCATTAGTTCTTTATGGGGAATATATTTATTATTAGAACCCAAAACAATGCTAAGAGACCTGCTTTTGGATCAGTTTCAACCTTCCGATTAGTAATACTTATTTCTTTAGATACAGATTGCTAACAATATGTAATCCAAGTACTAGCACATAAAATCTCCCCCCCCCCCCCCAAACATCGGCAGCATTTTGAGTTTAAATCTTTTCAAATCCAATTTAACTGCATTGGAGTGTAATCCCATTTGTGAATAAGCTTAATTACTTACACCATAATGCAGGCTGAGACAGAGTGCCTGGTGCTTTCGTTCCATATTTATTTCTAACATTTGTTCAATTGTATTGCTGTTTAAATCATTCTTCCAGACTACTGTAATACTACAGGAGGTTCGCGTCAATTTCTGAAGCAGTTGTTAGGTGCATAGAATCATAGAGCTGGAAGAGACCTCATGGGCCATCCAGTCCAACCCCATTCTGCCAAGAAGCAGGAAAATTGCATTCAAAGCACCCCTGACAGATGGCCATCCAGCCTCTGTTTAAAAGCCTCCAAAGAAGGAGCCTCCACCACACTCCGGGGCAGAGAGTTCCACTGCTGAACAGCTCTCACAGTCAGGAAGTTCTTCCTAATGTTCAGATGGAATCTCCTTTCTTGTAGTTTGAAGCCATTGTTCTCCCTAGTCTCCAGGGCAGCAGAAAACAAGCTTGCTCCCTCCTCCCTATGACTTCCTCTCACATACTTATACATGGCTATCATGTCTTCTCTCAGCCTTCTCTTCTGAAGGCTAAACATGTCCAGCTCTTTAAGCCGCTCCTCATAGGGCTTGTTCTCCAGACCCTTGATCATTTTAGTTACCCTCCTCTGGACACATTCCAGCTTGTCAACATCATCCTTCAATTGTGGTGCCCAGAATTAGACACAGTATTCCAGATGTGGTCTAACCAAGGCAGAATAGAGCATGGGTAGCATGACTTCAATGAATGACTTCAATGCAATATCCTAATTGTTTCTCAGGCCCAGGGGTTACTTACTACCAGCCCAGCTGGTACATAGGGATGACCTCACAGAGGTCCATCAAAGAGGGCAATGCACCCATGACCTCATAGTATCCCTAGGATAAATAAGTTGACCCCACCAAATAGTTGCACAGTGAAAGGAAAGTGGCGAGCCCCCATTTGCCCTGAAGGCTGAAGAGAGGGAACAATTCTGGAGGAATCAGGGAGTGAATCAATACACAGATGGTGGGTGAGTGAAGGGCCAAACAAAGGTCGTTCAAGAGCTGTTTACCATTTTTGTACAAGAGAAAATCTGTCCCAATGAAATAGCTTTTGGGGAATGTGTGGCCCTTTCTGGACTTCATCTTCCAACAGCCTTTTTGTTGTTCATTCGTTCAGTCGTCTCCGACTCTTCGTGACCTCATGGACCAGCCCACGCCAGAGCTCCCTGTCGGCCGTCACCACCTCCAGCTCCTTCAAGGTCAAGCCAGTCACTTCAAGGATGCCATCCATCCATCTTGCCCTTGGTCGGCCCCTCTTCCTTTTGCCTTCCACTTTCCCCAGCATAATTGTCTTCTCTAGGCTTTGCTGTCTCCTCATGATGTGGCCAAAGTACTCCAACTTTGTCTCTAGTATCCTTCCCTCCAGTGAGCAGTCGGGCTTTATTTCCTGGAGGATGGACTGGTTGGATCTTCTCGCAGTCCAAGGCACTCTCAGAACTTTCCTCCAACACCACAGTTCAAAAGCATCTATCTTCCTTCGCTCAGCCTTCCCTAAGGTCCAGCTCTCACATCCGTAGGTTACTACAGGGAATACCATGGCTTTGACTAACCGGATCTTTGTTGCCAGTGTGATGTCTCTACTCTTTACTATTTTATCGAGATTCCCAACAGCCTTAGTTGCCAGTATAGCCAGTGATTTGAGATTCTTGAAGTTGCAGATCAACAACATCTGAAGTGGTTGATAGAATAGCGATAGGAGCAGGAAAAAAAGTCCAATGAAGAAAGTACCAGTCCTGAATGGAGATATCTGGTTGAAAGTAGTAAATGGGGGAAAGATATAGAATTTTAGCAGACCACAAGCTAAAAATAAGCGAATAGTGTGATGTGGCAGCCAAAAGGTCAATACAATTCTAGGCTGCTTCAACAGAGTTTCTAAATTAAGGGAAATAGTAGTGCTGCTCCATTCATCTTTGGGCAGAACCTCACCTGGAATACTGTGTCCAGCTCTGGGCATCACCATTCATGAAGGATATGGACAAGATAGGGCAGATCCAGAAAAAGGCAAGCACGATGAACAAGGGGTGGAAACTGAACCTCATGAGGAATTAATTAGTTAGGGAACAGGGTATGTTTAGCTTGGAGAAGAGAAAACCAAGAGGTGAGATGGTCGCCATCTTTAAATATCTCAAGAGGAGCAATGCAGAAGGTGGGCCAAGCTTGTTTTCTGCTGCTCCAGACCCTTGATCATTTTAGTCATCCTCCTCTGGACACATTCCAGCATGTCAATATCTCTTCAATTGTGGTACCTAGAATTGGACAGAGTATTTCAGGTGTGGTCTAACTAACGCAGAATAGAGGGGGAGCATGGCTTCCCTGGATCTAGACACTATACTTGCAGGCCCAAATCCCATTGGCTTTTTTGGCTACAGCATCACATTGTTGGCTCATATTTAACTTGTTGTCCACAAGGACGCTAAGATCTCTTTTGCAAGTACTGCTGTCTAGCCAGGCATCGTCCCCCATTCTGTCTCTTTGCATTTCGTTTTTTCTGCCTAAGTGGAGTATCTTGCATTTGTCCCTGTTGAACTTCATTTTGTTAGTTTTGGCCAATCATCTTTCTAATCTGTTCATATTGTTTTGAATTCTGCTCCTGTCTTCTAGAGTATTGGCTATCCCTCCCAATTTGGTTATGTTCTGTCACACGCTGGGCCTGAAACAGCTGTACTTTTTTATAGGACATATACTTTAAGCCCAGCGGGAAGCCAGGGGCACCTCAAAGAGAGGTTCTCAGGGATTTTTCTGAAGTGATGGTATTTAGAGCCTTTAATGATGCAACAAAGTCTTTATTATGGAACAAACAACAAATCTTCAATGGTTCAAACAACACTTCAAGGCTTTCTTAGTCTAGTCTTCAATAGACTGGGAACTGACTTTAATTAACTGAACTGTCCCTGCAGGAAAAACCCTATTTAACCTCTCCCAGGCTGTTTACTATCTATGCCTCATCGGTGTGGGTCCTACTACCGATTCAAAATGCGTCTGGGTATCGAGTAGACCTACCAGCCAAGGCTTGAAGATAATTCAGCTGAAGTTCCGTGGATCTGTAGTGCTGTCCTCCCTCAGAGAATTCTTTGAAACTTCAGGGCTGTTTTCCCTCTGATTGCTGTGAGACTGAGAGGCTGTGAGCTCTCAGCCAAAGCCTTGGGACCTTTTCCCTGGAATTTTTGTTTCTGTTTCCCTGGATGTTCCTTTTCCCTGGAAGCTCCTTTTTCCCTGGATAGTCTTTTTTCCCTGGATGGTTTTGAGAAAAGAAGCTTTTCTACGGGACGAGCTGGTCTATGTCCTATAGTTTAGCTTCTTTGTGTGAGATGGACCAAAAAATGGCTCCTTTCCCTCCCAGAGCCCTGAACAAGGGGCAGAACCAAAGCTTAATTATGATGTACAGGAGGCCTGCTCTATGACTGCAAACAGATAACAGAAAGAAAATAAAGTTGGAGCTCCTGGTACTGTTTAGACTCAGCATTCTGGCACCATAATAGCCCCCTCTGTTCATGTAGCTTCCACGATTTCTCTTTCCTCTGTGTTGAGGGTCGCGACAGGTACAGCCGTACCAGCACAGTATGTTTAGCTTGGAGAAGAGAAAACCAAGAGGTGAGATGATCGCCATTTTTAAATATCTCAAGAGGAGCAATGCAGAAGGTGGGCCAAGCTTGTTTTCTGCTGCTCCAAAGACCAAAACATCACATTAGAGCTGCGGTTCTCAACCTGGGGGTCGCAACCCCCAGGGGGGTTCCCGGGCCATTTTCTGGGGGTCACAAAGGCGCCTCGGTTGGCATTTGTCACTGTTGAACTTCATTTTGTTAGTTTTGGCCAATCATCTCTCTAATCTGTGAATATTGTTTTGAATTCTGCTCCTGTCTTCTGGAGTATTGGCTATCCCTCCCAATTTGGTGTAGTCTGCAAACTTGATGATCCTGCTTTCTAACTCTTTATCTAAGTCACTAATAAAGACGCTGAAGAGATGTTGATTGAGATACCTCCAACAAGAAGCCTGGTGGAGTCTTATAGACTCGAGGCTGATTTTTTAACTATGTTGGAAGCTGCCTTCAGGAGAAAGGTGATATTTAAATAAAATAAACATACAAGTCTATCTCAGCTATTTCTTTTGCTAGTTTTTCTGGGAATCCCATCTCTCATGTTCTGCATGGTTTATCTTTCCACAGAAACTTTATTTGCATTTTATTCCCAATGAGCTGCGCCTGTACAGTGTTTTCATTCCTCACAAGGAAGTCCCCAAATGAGTAATAACTCTTCGATTACTAGTCCCTTTATGTTGGTGTAATGTCACAAGGGACACACAAACTGCCCTGCTAAGACAGAGCCGTGACAACAGAAGGGGGGGGGGATACAAAAAAGGACTTGTTTACGAATTTGCCTCTCTGCTCTTCCTCCTTTGCTCTCATTCCCACATAGGCCACCATGATCAACAGCAAGCTGCAGAGCTGTATACTTATCACTGGCTATTTTGCTTACCTTGTGCTGGGTGCTCTCACCTTCCAGGCTTTGGAGAAAGATGCTAAGACAAAGCAACAAAACATCATTTTAAGGATGAAGGAGAACTTCTTGAAGAACATGACCTCTTGCAGCCCAGCGGAGGTTGAGCTCTTTGTGGAGGTAGGTTATGACTCTGTAAGGAGAGGTGCCTTTCACATAGGAATTTCTAGGTATTATAACGTTTAAAAACTTTTCCGAGCTCTCAGAGAGATCTAGTTTTGAGGGATGCACTCTTAAGGTACATCTATCTTGTTCTCCTTTGGTGAGGCACCAGCACTTTTTGACAGAGAAGGGTAACGACCTTGTAAAACGACAGCTTCCAGGATTCCATAATATTGATCCACAGCAATTAAAGTAGTATCAAACTGCATTGAGATATTACTTTAATTACTGTGGATCGATATTATGGAATCCTGAAAGCTGTCGTTTTACAAGGTCATTAGCCTTCTCTGCCAAAGAGTGCTGGTGCCTTAGGTAAAGGTAAAGGTAGTCCCCTGACATGTCCAGTCATGTCTGACTCTGGGGTGTGGTGCTCATCTCCATTTCTAAGCCGAAGAGCCAGCGTTGTCCATAGACACCTCCAAGGTCATGTGGCTGGCATGACTTCATGGAGCGCTGTTACCTTCCCGTCGGAGCGGTACCTATTGATCTACTCACATTTGCATGTTTTCGAACTGCTAGGTTGGCAGAAGCTAGGGCTGACAGCAGAAGCTCACGCCACTCCCTGGAATCGAACCTGCGACCTTTCGATCAACAAGCTCAGCAGCTCAGTGCTTTAACCCACTGCACCACCGGGGGCTCCCCAGCTGGTGCCTTACCAAACTACAAATCCCAGGATTCCATAACACTGAGCTATGGTAGTTCAGGTGGTGTTTAATGGCATTAATTTGACAGTGTAGATGCCCTGTTAGATTAGTCGTATTATTTTAACAACAGGCTCAGTAAAAATTCACAATCTCTATGTGTTGTCAAAGGCTTTCATGGCTGGAATCATTGGGTTGCTGTAAGTTTTTCGAGCTGAATGGCCATGTTCCAGAAGCATTCTCTCCTGAAGTTTCGCCTGCATCTATGGCAGGCATTCTCAGAGGTTGTAAGGCTTGTTAGAAACTAGGAAAATGAGTTGTCGAAGGCTTTCATGGCCGGGATCACTGGGTTGTTGTAGGTTTTTCCGGGCTATATGGCCATGTTCTGGAGGCAATTTTTCTCCTGACGTTTCGCCTGCATCTATGGCAAGCATCCTACATTGACCTCACTACCTCTGAGGATGCTTGCCATAGATGCAGGCGAAACGTCAGGAGAAAAATTGCCTCCAGAACATGGCCATATAGCCCGGAAAAACCTACAACAACCTAGGAAAATGAGGTTTATATTTCTGTGGAATGTCCAGGTTGGGAGAAAGAACTATTGTCGATTGGAGGTAGGTGTGAATGTTTCAGTTGGCCACCTTGATTAGCATTTGATGGCCTGGCAGTTTTCAAGGTGTGGCTTCTTACTGTCTGGAGGCACCCTTTGTTGAGAGGTGATTAACTGTCCCTCATTGGGTTGTTGTAGGTTTTTCCGGGCTATATGGCCATGTTCTAGAGGTATTTTCTCCTGACGTTTCGCCCATCTATGGCAAGCATCCTCATCCTCACTACCTCTGAGGATGCTTGCCATAGATGCAGGCGAAACGTCAGGAGAAAATGCCTCTAGAACATGGCCATATAGCCTGGAAAAACCTACAACAACCCAGTGATTCCGGCCATGAAAGCCTTCGACAATACATCTCCTCTATTCATTGATCTGTATTTCTTTTAGGATTCCCCCAGGCAGTAAGAAGCCAGGCCTTGAAACTGCTAGGCCATTAAATGCTAATCAAGGTGGCCAATTGAAACATTCACATATATCTCCAACAGACAAGAGTTCTTTCTCCCACCCTGGACATTATCCCAATATTGAGATAAATGTTTTTAATGTTTATGTATGCGTATATGAATTCTTGTCCTGGCATTGAATGTTTGCTGTATATATGCTGTGCTCCGCCCTAAGTCCCCTTTGGGGTGAGAAGGCCTGCAAAGACCTAGAACTCAGTGTCCTAATTCATGTATTTCCTGCAGGGTTAGTAATTGTCCAGCTCCTCTGATACTCAAAGAGTTCCTCACTGTTGGCTATGCTAGATTAAGTTGGTGGAAGCTGCAGTCCAGCAACTTTTTTGTGACAGCTGCATAATTTCCCATATAATAATGGGTGAAGCTGATTATATACTAACCAATGGTTGGCTGTTTTATTCTTGAATTACAGAGTTTGATGGAAGCTGTAGAAAAGGAGCTTCGCTATAAGCAAAACAACTGGGATTTCAGCAACTCCTTCTTTTTCGTTGGTTCTATGTTGGCCACAATAGGTAAGTGAGTAGTAGTAGTAGTGTGCCTTCAAGTTACTTCTGACTTATGGCAACACTAAGGTAAATTTATCACAAACTTTCTGTGACTTGCTCTATATCACCAAGTGTTTTATAGCCAACTGGGGAATCAAACTCTGGTCTAAAGAGTCGTAGTTCAATGCTCAAATCACTACACCATACTGGTGGCTTTTTCCTTAAGATAATATTACATTTTGTGACCCTGCTCAGATAAGCTCTGGGTGCATCTATACTGTAGAATTAATGCAGTTAGACAACACATCAGCTGTCTTGCTATGGAATCACAGGAGTCATAGTTTTGCATGGTATTTAGCCTTCTCTATGGAATCCTTCGCTGTAGCATACGAGAAGCTCAGCCTGTCATTGAACATCGAGAAAACCAAAGTGCTCTTCCAGCAGTCACCAGCCAATCCCTCTCCAATGCCAGAGATACAGCTTAATGGTTGAACATTAGAAAATGTTGACCATTTCTGCTCCCTTGGTAGCCACGTCTCCACAAAAGTCAACATTGACACTGAAATACAACAATGCCTGAGCTCTGTGAGTGCAGCTTTTTTCTGGATGAAGCAGAGAATGTTTGAGGACCGGGACATCCGTAGGGATACCAATGTCCTTGTTTATAAAGCTATTGTCCTCCCAAACCTGCTATACGCCTGCGAGACGTGGACTGTCTACAGACGTCACATGCAACTCCTGGAACGATTCCATCAACGCTGCTTCCAGAAAATCCTGTAAATCTTTTGGGAAGACAAGCAGACAAATGTCAGAAGCAAAGACCACCAGCATTGAAGTGATGGTCTCCACCATCAACTCTGCTGGACGAGTCATGTTGTCCAGATGCCCGACCAAAATCTCCCAAAGCAGTTGCACTACTCTGAACTCAAGAATGGAAAACGGAATGTTGGTGGGCAGGAAAAAAGATTTAAAGATGGGCTCAAAACCAACCTTAAAAACTCTGGCATAGACACTGAGAACTGGGAAGCCCTGGTCCTTGAGCGCTCCAGCTGGAGGTCAGCTGTGACCAGCAGTGCTGTAGAGTTTGAAGAGGCACGAATGGAGGGTGAAAGAGAGAAATGTGCCAAGAGGAAGGCGCATCAAGCCAACCACAACTGGGACCACCTTCCACCTGGAAACCAATGCCCTCACTGCGAGAGAAGATGCAGTTCAAGAAGAGGGCTCCACAGTCACCTATGGATCCAACAGTACACTGACCTTAGAAGACTATCCTACATGGACAATGAGGGATCGCCTAAGTAATAGAATCCTGGAATGACATCTCCCAGGATTTCATAGCATTGAGCCTTGGCAGTTAAAGTAGTTTCAAACTGCATTAATTCTATAGTGTAGGTGTGAGTAGTATCAAATGCAACTCCCAGGCTCACAATTTAACCACCTTCTTTCACACCCCAAACTGCTCCATTCTGTCCTCCTTCTGGTCCTAGAAAATTCGCTCAAATTGCTGGCTCTGGGTGAAATTTATTTTGATTTATCCTTTTTCATTCCTAGGTCAAACAAGCTATAAATATTTCTCAAAACTCCTTTAAAAGTAATACAAAATGGCACAGACTATATGGGGGAAGGAATCTCAGTAACAGAAAGTCATTACAAGGATGTTTCTCTTAATTCTTATGTTTTATGAACTAGGAAGTGACAAAGAGAGGATAAAATGGAAAGATATTGCTCATATTTACTTTCATAACAGGATTAAAAGCCTAAGACATTTCTTCTCGTATGGCTGAAGTCTTCTGGAGTCTCTCTCTGTCTGAAAATTTAAAAAATGGTCTGGGAATCTAAATTTGTACATAGTACAAGACTGAGAGAAGATTGGTGGATTCTTTCCCACAAAGAATGCCAGCAGATCCTCATGTCCAGAAATCTTCAGAATATGATATACTAGCTTAAGTACCCAGCATTATTTGAAGAAGACATTTTTTATTTTACAAAATGCATAAGGTTGTGGGTGAACTACAACTCACATCATACCAGGTCAACCCTCTGAAACTCATCAGTAGTTAAAAGTTTGTCGTGTTGGGCAAGTGTGCTCTAGGTGCATCATCGGTGGCGTTCACTGTGATCTCTGGCTGCAGGATAAACTACAGCTCCCACCATGGTGAGTCAGTCTCTTGAAATCCCTTCAGTAGGTTCTATTGATCATAGGGGTTCTGTGTGCCAAGTTTGGTCCAGATCCACCATTGGTGGCAGGCACAGTGTCTCTGGATGTAAGGGAACTACAACCTCCAGAAATGAAGGTCAGTTTCCCCCAAACTCCTCCAGTATTTTCAGGTGGTCATGGTGGTTCTGTGTGCCAAGTTAGGTTCAGGGCCATCATTGGTGGGGTCCAGAGTGCTCTTTGATTGCAGGTGAACTATAAATCACTGTTGTGGTTCAGCCAGATGAAGATGAGGGGTCTGGGGGTTCAGGACCTTATAGTTCCCTAGGTGACCAAGCAGAGGGGTAAACAGAGGGGTTCCGAATGCTCTTTGATTGTAGGTGAACTATAAATCCCAGCAACTACAACTCTCAAATGTCAAGGTCTATTTTCCCAAATGTGTTCACATTTGGGCATATTGAGTATTCATGCCAAGTTTAGGCCAATCCATCATTGTTTGAGTCCACAGTGCTCTTGGGATGTAGGTGAACTACAGCTCTAAAACTCAAGGGCAATGTCCACCAAACCCTTCCAGTATTTTCTGTTGGTCATGGGAGTTCTGTGTGCCAAGTTTGGTTCAATTCCATTGTTGGTGGAGTTCAGAATGCTCTTTGATTGTAGGTGAACTATAAATCCCAGCAACTACAACTCCCAAATGACAAAATCAATCCCTCCCAACCCCACCAGTATTCAAATTTGGGCGTATTGGGTATTTGTGCCAAATTTGGTCCAGTGAATGAAAATACATCCTGCATATCAGATATTTACATGACAATTCATAACAGGAGCAAGATTACAGTTATGAAAAAATGAAAATAATTTTATGGTTGGGGGTCACCACAACAAGAGGAACTGTATTAAGGGGTCACGGCATTAGGAAGGCTGAGAAACACTGCCCTAGAGGGTTCAATTCCAACCATGATTTGACTTTGCTCCATTGAATATTATTGAACTGCACATTTCTCAGTTTGATTCTCTTTCTGAAATCAAATTATATTTGTTATATGCTTTGCATTTTGAGTTGTTTCATGCACCCTTCTGTCTCCAACTGGGCTTTTGGCAATGCTCTTGTTTCTTTTGAAAATACACATTCATTTTGTGTTTCAATAATGCATGGCTCTCTTGTGATCCAATTGTCCAACATCCCTTTGGCACTCTAGCTGTGAATTAGTAATAAATATTATAAGCAATTTTTGTATATGAAATTGAGCTGAATGTTCATTTTATACAAGCCACATGCTTTTAAAAATGTCAGTGTCATTTTTCTTTTATAACTCTTGGCCTCAGTTTACGTTGCTTAAATGGTAAACTGCCTCGAGCCACTTGGAAGAAAAGTAGTTCATAAATTCAGCAAATAAGATAAATATTTAGCTGAGATCCAGTATAACTGAGTGAACCCATTTGCTCATGCTGGTGCAAAAGGGATGCGTATTAAGATACTTTCTTCAAACCTTTTCTCTTTGTATAGGTTATGGAAACCTCTCTCCCAAAACAGAAGGCGGCCAGCTCTTCTGTGTGTTTTTTGCTCTTTTTGGAATCCCTTTGAATATTGTCTTCCTGCACCATATCGGCAACATGATCGCGATGCTCTGTGAAAGGCTGGCCAAATGGCTATATGAGAAGGGAGTGCAGAAGGTAGGCCAATTTATTCTTTGTCAAGATTTGTCTCAAAACCAGTAGCAACAAGGGAAGGTGACAGAAACCTCTCCGGGTTGCTGTCACCTGAATTGCAGAGCTGCTCTTTGAGATTATGGGTGTTGTTGTTATGTACCTTAAAGGTTTCATCCGGAAAAAGTCTCTGGAAGAATAACGAGTTTCCATTTCTTTTTTATTTGATTTTACTGCATTTTGCCAGAGTACACATATCACAGCTCTTGTCTCAAGAGAACCCCTCTTGACCAGTTCATCACATCTTCTTCTGGTTCCCAGACAGCATCAATCAATAAATCCTGGTAATCCCTTCCACCATTCCGTGAATTACCTGCTCTCCTTGGTTCTGAGGATCACCTGGGAAGGAATCCCACTGGAGCATTGCAGCGCACCCAAATACCTGAGAGTCACTCTGGACCGTGCTCTTACCTACAAGAAGCACTGTCTGAACATCAAGCAAAAAGTGGGTACCAGAAACAATATCATACGAAAGCTGACTGGCACAACCTGGGGATCACAACCAGACACAGTGAAGACATCTGCCCTTGCGCTATGCTACTCTGCTGCTGAGTATGCATGCCAGTGTGGAACACATCTCACCACACTAAAACAGTGGATGTGGCTCTTAATGAGACATGCCGCATTATCACGGGGTGTCTGCGCCCTACACCACTGGAGAAATTACACTGCTTAGCCGGTATTGCACCACCTGACATCCGCCGGGAAGTAGCAGCCAACAGTGAAAGGACCAAGGCTGAGACATCTCCAGCTCATCCCTTGTTTGGGTATCAGCCAGCACATCAACGACTTAAATCAAGACATAGTTTTCTTAGATCTACAGAGACACTCGCTGGAACACCTCAGCAAGCGAAAGTCCAAAAGTGGCAGGCTCAAGCCCAAAACCTCAACCAATGGCTGATACCAAATGAGAGATTCCCCCCTGGGCACACGGAAGACTGGGCAATTTGGAAGGCACCGAACAAACTGCGCTCTGGCACCACGAGATGCAGAGCCAACCTTCAGAAATGGGGCTACAAAGTGGAATCCACAACCTGCAAATGTGGAGAGGAGCAAACCACTGACCACCTGCTGCAATGCACCCTGAGCCCAGCCACATGCACAAGGGAGGACCTTATTGCGGCAACACCAGAAGCACTCCAGATACTGCTCAAAGGACATTTAATCAACTACCAAACTTGCAAATTTTGTGCTTTGTCTGTTTGTTTGTTTTTTTCTGTTAGAAATGTAATACAATTGACTGGTTGCCCTGACACGACAAATAAACCTTTAGGCCAGTGGTTCTCAACCTTTTTTTTTTTTTAACCAGGGACCACTTTGACCAGGGACCACTCTCCAACATTAGTACCAAAAGGGTTACGAATCAGTATTTGGTCAACTTTAGATTCAGTTTTGTTATTTGGGGTCCTGATTTAGAAAATTGCATAGGACAGACCACATCAGCTCTAGTTTCTGACATATACCATCCAATAGTTGCCGTCTGCTCACACACATAAAACCATATTTAATAATCTAGAGCTGATGTGGTCTATCCAAGGGGGCGGGGCTGGTCAGTGACAGGGAAGGAGTGGAAGGCAGTGCAAAAGGAGCAGAAATAAAATATAAATAAATAAATAAAGAGGAAGGAGGCTCGCGGACCAGATTTTCGGCCTCACGACCTACTGGTGAAATCCGGCCCACAGGTTAAGAACCACTGTTTTAGACAATATCTTCCCTCCTGCCTTTGTACCTCAATGATCATAGTAAAAACTAAACTTAGAATTGTGGAATCACAGAGTTGGAAGAGATCACTAGGGCCATCCAATCCAGCCTCCTGGGATTTGCAGTTTAGAGTGGATTACTGGGATTTCTGTACTAGAAAGCTCTATTGCCTCATAAGTCCCAGCATGCCATAAGATGCAGCCATGGCAGTCAAAGTGAAATCATAGTACTATAATGAAGCTCTATGAAAGGGCCCATGCTCACAGCACTTGTTCTGAAAACCCTCAACATTCCCAAGCTATTTCTGTATCCTGCACTTTGTTCATAAGACACTGGCTGATAACTACTTCTCTCAATAGGGTCTGCCAATTGTGAAGTCAAGTTCTACTAGAAATAATACATAATTTCAAAACTATAGCGTAGCCCAAAAGTATGTGCATGCATTTGTGTGTAATACATGGGAAAAAAACACCCAACTTTCTGCTTTTGCACTCTCTTTCAGAAAACAACCAGGTGTTTGACTCTTCTGTTCTTCCTGGTGATGGGAATTCTAGTGTTTCTTTGCCTACCTTCAGCCATCTTTCAGGAGATGGAGGGCTGGACCTATGGTGAAGCAATTTACTTTGCGTTTATTACCCTCAGCACCATTGGTTTTGGGGATTATATAATAGGTAAGGCTTCTTGTAACCATTTCCAAAGCATACTGTGGTAGTCTTTTCTTTTGAGATCCCAGGATCTAGTGAGAAATTAAGAAACTTGCATCTGGACTCAAATAGGGCTTCACAGAACTACTTATAAATGCTTGGTTCTTCTTCTTGTTGTTATTTTATTTCTTTTGTACCGTCAAGTCATTGTCAAGGAATTGACAATTTTGTGTCAAACCTATCACAGGCATTTCTTGGCAAGATTTGTTCAGATAGGTAAAGGTAAAGGTTTTCCCCTGACATGAAGTCTGACATGACAGCCGGTGTTGTCCGTAGACACCTCCAAGGTCATGTGGCTGACATGACTACATACAGCGCTGTTACCTTCCTGCCGAAGCAGTACCTATTGATCTACTCACGTTTGCATGTTTTTGAACTGCTAGGTTGGCTAACCGCAGGAATGAAAAAAAATGTTGTTTACTGCTGTAAACACCAATTTGAATGGTTCTAAAGTATGTAAACATCAGTTTAATATGACTACACCAAAACAAACATAAATCACATAATAGTGGCTAGCAAAGTTAAAGACAGAGTGCAGATGCTGTTGTAAATTCTCCCTCCCATTGTTGTTGTTTATTCGTTCTGTTGTTTCTGACTCTTCATGACTACATGGACCAGCCCACGCTAGAACTCCCTGTCGGCCGTGGCCACCCAAAGCTCCTTCAAGGTCAATCCAGTCACTTCAAGGATGCCATCCATCTTGCCCTTGGTTGGCCCCTCTTCCTTTTTCCTTCCATTTACCCCAGCATAATTGTCTTCTCTAAGCTTTCTTGTCGTCTCATTATGTGGACAAAGTACTTCATCTTTGCCTCTAATATCCTTTCCTCCAATGAGCAGTCGGGCTTTATTTCCTGAAGTATGGATTGGTTGGATCTTCTCGCAGTCCAAGGCACTCTCAGAACTTTCCTCCAACACCACAGTTCAAAAGCATCTCTCTTCCTTCGCTCAGCCTTCCCTAAGGTCCAGCTCTCACATCCGTAGGTGACTACAGGAAATACCATGGCTTTGACTATGCAGATCTTTGTTGCCAGTGTGATGTCTCTACTCTTCACTATTTTATCAAGATTGGTAATTGCTCTCCTCCCAAGAAGTAAACGTTTTCTGATTTCCTGGCTGCAGTCTGCGTCTGCAGTCATCTTTGCACCTAGAAATACAAAATCTGTCACTGTCTCCACATTTTCTCCTTCTATTTGCCAGTTATCAGTCTTCTATTCCAGTCAAAGCTTCTTAGTTTATTCCACAGCTGTATCTTGAGTTCAAATAGTAAATATTCAACTAAAATGTCCTTGAAGAAGCAAAACAAAGATGACAAGGGTCCCCGGGTTGTTTTAACCTCATTTCGGGAAGCTTTCCCTTCATTAGGTTTCTGTGCTGAAATCCTGACAGTAGAGCAAAGTCCATGTAACAGAGAAGAATTATTTAAAAAGTTACGCTTTTGGTGAAGACAGCATATTTGATTTATGTTTGTTTTGGTGTTAGTTGCATTAAACTGATGTTTACTTTAGAACCATTTAGAATTGGTGTTAACCGCAGTAAACAACATTTGTTTTTCACTATTTATAGATATCTGTGTTATTAGATGCTAACAGTGGGAGCTCACCCTGTTCCCCGCATTCAAAACGCCAACCTTTTGGTCAGCAAGTTTAGCAGCTCAGCGGTTTAACCCGCTGCACCACCAAGGGCTCTAGATAGGAGTTGCCTTTCCCCCCTCCTTTGAGGCTGAGAGAGTGTGACTTGAACAAAGTCACTCAGTGGGTTTCCATGGCTAAATAGGGATCTTAACCCAGATGTGAAGTCCAATGCTCAAACTTCTATGCTTTGTCTGGGAGTTGTAGTTTGCTGAGGCCCCAGCATTCTTTGGTCAAGACCCCATAAAGCTACAATTTCAGTGGTTCCTTGGCATTGTGCCATGGCAGTTAAAGTGGTGTCAAATTACATTAATTCACAGTGAAATATCCTCCCTGTTTGTATAGGGAAGATTTTAGCCCCTTTCCTTCCTTCCTTCCGTGTTACTTGAGTAAAAATTACTTTCGTACATCAAACTCAGTTTGCAGCATTTGAAGCAAGTAGAGGCCAAAATAGGAGGAGACAAACTGAGACATTTTAAAATCAGTTAATAAGTGGGATGGCAAGGAGAAATTGGGGCTGTGCCTGCCAAATCAGGACAAGTCTTGTAAGGAGGTCCCTACAGATTTAAGGACTGCATATAGGCAAATACCAAACTAGGGTTCTTCAAACCAGCTATTGTTCAATATCAGCTCTTCCAATATTTAGCACATCCCAGGTGTCGCAGTGGGTTAAACCCCTGTGCCAGTAGGACTGACAGGTCACAGTTTCAAATCCGGAGAGAGGCGGATGAGCTCCCTCTATCAGCTCCAGCTCCTCATGTGGAGACATGAGAGAAGCCTCCCACAAGGATGATAAATAAAAACATCATATCATTCAGGCGTCCCCTGGGCAACACCTTGCAGACGGCCAATTCTCTCACACCAGAAGCGACTTGCAGTTTCTCAAGTCACTCCTGACACGACAAAAAACAAAAATCTTGGCCCGTTGTGCACTGAAGACCATCAGATAAAACTGCACTTGCTATTGCAATCTCTCCTCTTCTGCAAGAATCACATTTCTTTCCCCCTCGTTCCCAGGTAAACAGCATGACCGAGACTATTTCCCCGGCTACCGGATTTTGGTAGCCATTTGGATTATCTTTGGACTCGCCTGGATTGCTCTCCTGTTTAATCTACTGACCACACTGTTGGAAGATTCCAGTGAAAACCCCACGGAGGAATATCTTCAAGTTGCCGTAGTTCCAAGGAAAGGTCGCTTAAAAAATGACTTCTTATAGCACACTGGGTAGAAAAATTAATTATAACAGAAAGAGGACTGGTATTCTGTTCTTTATTTATTCTCAAAATTTGCCAGCTAACTTTTTGCAAATAAAATATGAAGTAATCATGAATGCTGCAAAGAAATTTAGCACATACTATTCAGTTCTGCAGAGAATGAGAAACTGAAAATTGTTCACAGCTCTAAATCAGTGTTAATAAATAACTTAATAAAGTTCCTCATGTTTTGGTGACCCCCAACCATAACATTATTTTCGTTCCTACTTCATGACTGTGATTTTGCTACTGTTATGAATTGTAATGTAAATATCTGACATGCAAGATGTATTTTCATTCACCGGACCAAATTTGACACAAATACCTGACAAGCCCAAATTTGAATACTGATGGGGTTCGGGGGGGGGGTTGATTTGGGAGTTGTTGTTGCTGGGATTTATAGTTCACCAACAATCAAAGAGCATTCTGAACTCCACCAATGATGGAATTGAACCAAACTTGGCACACAGAACCCCCATGACCAACAGAAAATACTGAAAGGGTTTGGTGAGCATTGACCTTGAGTTTTGGAGTTGTAGTTCACCTACATCTAGAGAGCACTGCGGACTCAAATTATGATGGATCTGGACCAAACTTGGCATGAATACTCAATATGTGCAAATGTGAACACTGGTGGAGTTTGGGGAAAATAGACCTTGGCATTTGGGAGTTGTAGCTGCTGGGATTTATAGCTCATCTAAAATCAAAGTGCATTCTGAACCCCACCAACGAAAGAATTGGGCCAAACTTCGCACAAAGAACCCCCATGACCAATAGAAAATATTGTGTTTTCTTATGGTCTTTGGTGATCCCTCTGACACGCTCTCATGTCCGTCCCCCCCAGGGTCCTGACCCCCAGGTTGAGAAAAGCTGCTCAAATTGTTATATTTGCAATGTTCACAATACATTCCCCCCAGAACTTTGCCTGCCCTGTTTCTTTGGATGCCGAAACTCTATTGATAAATTCCCACATGATATTTTAATGTATTGCAATGCTAGAAATTTGTGGATTAAAGGAATATTTCATGCTAAATTCTTATTTAAAGGGCAATTTCCACCTCTGCCCCTCACTTACCTACACCTCTGGCCCTTCAGCATTATGTGTGAGGATCCATTGCCTTTGAGATGTTGCATGATTCCTTTCAGTTGCAGTACAACCATTATATCCACTATATGTGATATTTCATGTATCTTTGATTTTACATGGAATTGATAGAGAATTTTGGTGTTGTACCCACAATCTTCACGGGGTTCTGCCTATTCATCAGAAAAGAAAACTTCAGATTTGGTTGTTTCCTAGTTTTACCGCTAGATGACAGCATAAGCCCAGTCAACGCATATAGATTGTATGAGAGCTGGTTCATGTTTCAGAATATGTATATTCAAGGTTCATAATATAATGAGTTGCTTTTTGTTAGCATTCAAGTAGCTGCTTTTCTGCACTGTTCCATCAGTTTATCTTAGTTCAGCTTTTCTAAGGGTGCATCAGTCTACACTGTAGAATTAATGCAGTTTGACACCATGGCTCAATGCAATGGAATTCTGGGGTTGTAGTTTGCAGAAGCCCCAGCTAAACACCATGTAAAACTACAACTACCAGGGTTCCCTAGTAAGTAGCCAAGACAGTTCAAGTGGCTACAAATTGCATTAATTCTTCAGAGCCCTATATGGTTCTGGCCCAGCTTACCTGTCCGAACGTATCTCGCTCTACATCCTGCCTCGTAGCTTAAGATCGTCCGGGCAGGCCCTGCTCTCGGTCCCGCCAGCCTTGCACGTGCACTTGGCAGGGACGAGGACAAGGCCTTCTTGGTGGCGGCCCCATGCCTGTGGAACCCACTTTCCAGGGAGATCAAGTTGGCTTCTTCCCTCCTTTCTTTTAGGAAGAAGGTGAAATCATGGCTCTGGGACCAGGCCTTTGGACAGCAAGCATGACAGCACCTTGGATGTTGAACTGGACTGAAATTGACTATATAGTTGATGACAATGTTTTTAACGTGTTTTTAACTTAATGTTCTATTTACTGTTTTAAATTGTTGCTATTTGTGTTTATATTTGTATTATATTGTGGCTTCGAATTGTGGTCGGTTTTGTGAGCTGCTCTGAGTCCCCCCTCAGGCATTGAGAAGGGCGGGATAGAAATATTAGAAATAAATAAATATATAAATAAATAGATGCACCCTAGTTCCTCCTGCCCTATAGTACCGATACAACTCACAATCATGTGTGTGTGTGTGTGTCAAAGTAGGGGCTGCCCAGTGGTGCAATGGGTTAAACCACTGAGCTGCTAAGCATGCTGACCAAAAGGTTGGCGTTTTGAATCCAGGGAGCGAAGTGAGCTCCCACTGTTAGCCCCAGCTTCTGCCAACCTAGCAATTCGAAAACATGCAAATGTGAGTAGATCAATAGGTACCACTTCTGCAGGTAGGTAACAGCGCTCCATGCAGTCATGCTGGCCACATGACCTTGGAGGTGTCTACAGACAATGCCAGCTCTTCGGCTTAGAAATTTAGATGAGCACCAACCCCTAAATTTGGACTCAACTAGACTTAATGTCAGTGGAAAACTTTACCTTTACCTTTTTATGTCAAAGTATGTATGTATATATACCACAAAGGCTGTTGCTAGGTGAAGTGGTCCTCTATAACGTCACTGAGAAGAAAAGGTGAAGTGAGCTCAACTTATATATGAAAGGTGACATTATATATGAGCTTGACTTATACATGAATATGAGATGTATACGATACGTATACTGTTTGATGCCAATGCTGTGTCTCCACCCTATGGTGAAAAGCTTGAAATTATTTCCTGTTTACTCTAATAGTTACTGTGCTGCTACTCAAAGAGGTGGTCAATAGACCGTTGCTGGTCCATGAGCCAAACCACGGAGAGTTTGCAGGAAAGAAAGAAACCCTTGTACGCAATGGTCTCTGGCATATTAGAAAAACATGTATGGCTCCTAAAACACGAGGCAGCTCTCATAGAACCTGCATTTGTCATTATGAACTACTTATGTTAATCCATTCAAGCACCACCTAACCAAACCACAGTGAAATATAATACAAAAACTTACAAGTGACAGCAACATGACACAAGTCGAGAGCAAAATAAACATTCTGGGGAAGCAAGCTTGTTGAAACGAGCCTTAAATAAGCGTCAAAAGCACTCTATGCAGCCAAAGGATTGGGTTCTATATAATTCGTATGAGGAATTGCACAGAGAGAACTACCAGAATACTAAGCTATTTAGACTCCACATATCTACCACAACTTCCAAAAAGAGTAGAACTAATGTAGTTTGACCCTACCTGTTTTTTGCTGCCCTGGAGACTAGGATGCGGAACAATGGCTTCAAACTACAGGAAAGGAGATTCCAACTGAACATGAGGAAGAACTTCCTGACTGTGTGAGCTGTTCAGCAGTGGAACTCTCTGCATCAGATTGTGGCGGAGGCTCCTTCTTTGGAGGCTTTTAAACAGAGGCCGGATGGCCATCTGTTGGGGGTGCTTTGAATGCGATTGTCCTGCTTCTTGACAGGGGATTGGACTGGATGACCCACAAGGTCTCTTACAACTCTGTGATTCTGTTATTCTACTTTAACTGCCTTGACTCAGTGCCATGGGATCCTGGGAGTTGTAGCTTGGTGAACCATCAGCACCTTTTGGCATAGAAAGCTAAAGACCTTGCAAAACTACATCTCCCACGATTCCAAAGCATTGAGCCATGGCGGTTCAAGTGGTGTCAAACTTCATTAATTCTACAGTGTAGATCAGGCAGGTATGGACAAACTTGGGCCCTCCAGGTGTTTTGGACTCTAACTCCCACAATTCCTACCAGTAGGCTGTTAGGAATTATGGGAGTTGGAGTCCAAAACACCTGGTGTCAAATTTCATTAATTCTGTGACGGCGCGAGTGGCGCCACCTATGTGTAGAACTATTAGTTGCAAGATTTAAACTGTTGCATCATGCTTAATCCTGCCTTTTTACCCTGTTTATGTATAGTTGGATTGATTGGTTATATATTGCTGTCAATCAGTGTTGTTTGCACCAGTTGAATTGCTTTTTCAGCTCAATTGTTTGGCTCCACTTCTTCCTGGAAGAGGGGAGTGCTTCCCTTTTTTCATTCTGCCATCAGATTTTCTATCAGATGGACGTGAGTAAGAAACTTGGCTCTAAAAGCCCCTGATTAAATTACCTCTCAGCACCAATTCTGAGGTTCTTACCCTTGAGACTTATGCTTCATGTTCAGACCAACCCGAATGATGTTGGGAAGTCTCAAACACCTTCAGACCAGTTCTTTTGGCACCAGAGGAAGACCCTGTGTCTTCAAACATAGGCCATCTGGACTGGGGTTGTGGATTGCTCTGCCATTTACAGCCATTGAGAAAGAGGGACCTGAAAAAGCTTCTCAGCTTCAAACCTTCTTGGACCCAAGGCAACCAGAGACTGTAATGTACATTTTCCTTCACCCCTTTGAAACTTTCAGCTTATTACCTTAAAGAGATAACTCTTTATGAACAATAAAATTTATTTTGAGTTATCTACAGTGTTTGGGTCTTTGAGAGTTCCAGTTTCCTAAGGAGGGCAAGAAGCAATCCATGCCTCTTTCACTAAGAGCTATAGCCCCCAGGCACGACAGCACAAATTCTACAATGTAGATCAGACATACTTACTTACTTAGGCGATCCCTCGTAGTCCGAGGATAATGGTCCTCCAAGTGTAGTATCCTGGCGGTGGGTCCGTAGGTGACTGTGAAGCTCTATTTTTGACCTGCATCTTCTCCCTCAGTGAGGGCATTGGTTTCCAGGTGGAAGGTGGTCCCGGTCAGGGTTGGCTTGACGCGCCTTCCTCTTGGCATGTTTCTCTCTTTCGCCCTCCATTCATGCCTCTTCAAATTCTGCAGCACTGCTGGTCACAGCTGACCTCCACCTGGAGCGCTCAAGGGCCACAGCTTCCCAGTTCTCAATGTCTATGCCAGAGCTTTTATGGTTGGCTTTAAGCCCATCTTTAAATCTCTTTTCCTGTCCTCCAACATTCCATTTTCCATTCTTGAGTTCGGAGTAGAGCAACTGCTTTGGGAGACAGTGGTCGGGCATCCAGACAACGTGGCCGGTCCAGCAGAGTTGGTGGCGGAG